GAATGCCGGAATCCTGGGCTGCAGCTGAAATGTCAAAACCAGTCTTTCGTCACTCATTGGTTTAACTGTTTGAATTGAGATCTTGAAACTTGAATGACTAAATACTGAAGAATGACAAGATGTGTTGGGGTACTACTTCCCTTTGAGGGACAAACAAAGGTGTAAGATTTGGGGGCTTTACAGTATGCTTTATAGTAGTTTTGATAACAGTTTTCCTTTGTTTAATTTCATTTAAGGTAGTCAGTTAACTTATTACTATCTTTCTCAGGATATTAGCTGCAATGAGCTGCAGGTTCTTCCCCAGCAGATAGGAAAACTGCAGTCACTTAGAGAATTAAACATAAGAAGAAATAATCTCCATATGTTGCCAGATGGTAAGCTGCTCTTTTTCATTTCTTTGATGCAGGTAAATTAGTGTTAAGAAGGTATCTGATTGTGTTTCTGTTTGTCTCCCCCAATGCAGAATTAGGAGACCTTCCCTTGGTAAAGCTGGATTTTTCTTGTAATAAAATTACAGAAATCCCAATTTGTTACAGAAAGTTACGGCACTTACAAGTTATAGTTTTGGATAACAATCCAATGCAGATACCACCAGCACAGGTTAGTATTAAAGCATTCGAGCTCAGAAATTTGCAGTAGGAGCTTAAGAAAGAAGAAGCTGTTCTAAGTTAGAACAACCAGGTTTTCATTTTTTTAGCTTTGTTTCTCCCTGTGGGATGTTGTGGGTACAAACTCAGTGTAGGAAGTATTCACTGGGGTGCAGGTTCAGAAGACATGCTGTATAATTAACATCTCCTTCTTGTTTGTTTGTTTCCCAACAGATCTGTTTAAAGGGTAAAGTACATATATTTAAATTCCTCAGCATCCAGGCGTGCCTCAGAATAGATAAAAAACCAGATTCTTTGGATCTTCCATCATTAGGTAAACGAATCCCCTCCCAGCCACTGACAGACAGGTGAGTGGTGCTGTGTTTGTTTTATTTCACTGCAGCATTTGCTATGAAGTGATCTGTTTATTACAGATAATAGCTGTAATTTCAGTACTTCAACTCTTTATTTAGGAGTCGGAGTATTTTTCTTTCAAGGTTGTCTTACTGGAAGCTTTATTGGCTTATCTGAATTGCTCTGAAAAATTGCTAAAATACTTACTTAAGACTTGCAAATCAGAACAAAAGTGAATTTTCCATTTATTGATTGGAAATCTCAGCTATTTATTTCCCAAACAGATTATGGCAAAACCAGATGAGAAGTTCCCATGAATGTTCTGAATATAGAGTTAGTGTGGTGGATGGAAAGTCTGCCTCCCACATATATATATATTAAGGGAAACGGGCTTAAACATCGTTGAAATACCATGGATTTTTTATTGGATTAGACAAGGTCAAAAAGTGTGAAATATTTTGTTTGCCTTCTGTATTAAGTCCATCTTGGGTAATGCAGTGGGTGTGCCCTTGTGTTCTCTGTCAGCTTGGTTTGCTGTTGGAAGCCATAGGGAACAACACTTTGCTTTCACATGACATTTTAAGAAAATAGGCAATTTGTGCCTCTCTGTGTTCAAAGCTGAAGGAAAGATGGAAGTTGTGAAAAAAGCCTACACAGAACCATCTGAACCATCAGAGTCAGTCCATGGTCTTGTTCTCGGGCAACCGTGCCACAGGGAATTAGTCCACAGTGTCCGTATGTGGCTTCTGAATCATAGAATCCCAGCCTGGTTTGTGTTGGAAGGGACCTTAAAGCTCCTCCAGCTCCACCCCCTGCCCCGGGCAGGGACACCTTCCACTGGAGCAGGTTGCTCCAAGCCCCTGTGTCCAACCTGGCCTTGAACACTGCCAGGGATGGGGCAGCCACAGCTTCTCTGGGCACCCTGTGCCAGCCCCTCAGCACCCTCCCAGAGAAGAGCTTCTGCCTCAGAGCTCATCTCAATCTCCCCTTTGGCAGGTTAAAGCCATTCCCCTTATACTCTACTCATGGGACATTGTGCTAAAGTTGTACCAGCCGCTGTCGATGAGTGCACAGAACATTTTTATTAAAGGGTGTCTATTTTCTTTTGAACAGTGAGACTACAGTTTTTCATTCTTTGTGGGTTTATGTGTGTTTTTTCTTCATGTAGCATGGAGGACTTTTATCCCAATAAAAATCATGGACCAGACTCTGGCATTGGGAGTGACAATGGGGATAAACGGTTGTCCACAACAGAAGTGAGTGGTTTTTATTATTGAATTTGTGTAATTTTGGGTGGTTTGTTTCCTCTGTTTCTCCCCTCTTTAGTGTAAGGAGGGTCAACGTAGTTGGAGGCTGTAGGTAAGACAGTACCCGAGGATTTTGCTTAGTCCACTGGCCAGGGCTGGGCTGGACCTCTTTGTTCAAAGTACTATGTTTCAGTATTAATTATGTACTGAATAGTTGTCTGTCATTCCTTAAACTGTGATTCTCTTAATGCCCCCACAAAGACACCTCACCTGACTTGTTCATCCTGGGAGCTCTGACTCCTCATAGGTCAGTTGCACTAGAATTGGTGAGTTCTTAGCAAACGATGTGATGATGTCATTTATTTCTGAGTTCTTTACTAACTGTGACTGTCTTTGCAGCCATCAGATGATGATACAATCAGCCTCCACTCCCAGGTATCAGAATCAACGAGGGAACAGACATTAAGGAATGACAATCATGTAATGGGAAGTAAACTCGATCCACAGAAAGGTAATGTCTGCTGTGCATCTGTCAGTTTAGATAACAGGAGTACTTCTGGTCTGGTAATGTAATACAAGCACATTGCACAGAAGGATACGATCATATGTTGGCGCCGTGTTTTCATCCTTCCAGAAAACAATGTAATAATCACACATAGACAAGGCCAGTCTTTTTTTCTCTAAAAGATTATTTCTAGCTGAAGGAGACAGGATTTCATTGTTTTATCTGACCTTCTTCATAAGCAATTATCTCTCTGAGGAATAGTACTCGGTTGAGGGAGCTGTTTAATATCTTTCCCATTCTCCATCAATCTTCATTAGACCAGGAGGTGTACGACTACATTGATCCGAACACTGAAGAGGGAGCTATTCCTGAGCAAGGAGATGTACACACTGGACCACTGCTGTCTTATATCAAGGTAGCCTGGTGTGACAAGAAACACTGTTCAGCAGCCTTGCTTTTCTTTGAATTCGAGTCTGAGTTTATTTTTCATTCTGTGCCAGGAGCGGGGAAAAAAGCCTGAGAAATCCCAGAAAATAGAACAGAATGAGGACTGGGGTGATGAGAAAAGGTAAATCTTCTTTATCTTTTTTTGGGAAGCTTTTACTGTCAGTGGGGGGTGAGGGTGGTTTTGGTTTTTGTTTGGGACAACAGTGTCCTGGGGTGCATTGGAAGGAGTGTGGCTGCAGGTTGAGGGAGCTGATCCTCCCCCTCTACTGACCCTGCTGAGGCCACAGCTGGAGTCCTGTGTCCAGTTCTGGGCTCCTCAGTACAAGAAAGACCAGGAGCTACTGGAGAGGGTCCAGGGGAGGGCCACAGGATGCTCAGGGGTCTGGAGCATCTCATGAGAAGAGACTGCAGGAGCTGGGCCTGTTGAACGTAGAGAAGAGCAGCCTGAGAGGGGATCCCATCAGTGCAGATCAGTATCTCAAAGGTCAGGAGGATAGTGCCAGGCTGTTTTCACTGGTGCCTAGCGCCAGGGCAAGGAGCAGTGGCCATAAACAAAAACATAAGAAGTTTTACTTCAATGTGATGAAGAACTTCTTTGCATTGCAGGTGGCAGAGCCCTGGCACAGGCTGCCCAGGGGGGTTGTGGAGTCTCTCCCTCTCTGGAGACATTCCAAGCCCACCTGAACAAGTTCCTGTGTAACCTGCTCTGGGTGGCCCTGCCTTGGCAGGAGGTTGGACCTGATGATCCCCAGAGGGCCCTTCCAACCTCATGATTCTGTGATTCTGTTTTAAGCTCATTGCATATGGAGGAAAGGAATCTCGTAGAGAACAGAGTGTTCCTTCTTGGACAGAAAATAAGCTTACTGGAAGTGGTTCTCAGTTGTCCAATAATGCATCCATTTCTGTGTCTGGCTTTACTGAAGTCAGGCAAGTCACTGATGTTTAATGTTTCAGACTGCAGAAAGAACAGCTGCTGGCTGAAGATGATGATGAACTCAAAGAAGTGACTGACTTGAGAAAAATAGCAGCTCAGTTACTGCAGCAAGAACAAAAACACAGGTATTCCAGTATGAGGATAACTCGTGGTACAGTGAATTTATTCTTCTACCTGCCTTAGACCCAAAAGCTCTGGACACCTCGTCATTTTGAGAGCTGTTTTGTCCAGCTGTTACAGTGACAGATGTTTTCAAGATGCCTGTCCTGTGTTTCTTGTCATAAACCTGTTGTCCACAGAAGCTGGGATATACCTCCTGTGGAGAGGAAGAGATGAATGTGACAGTCTCTTGATTTCCTGGTTTGATGTGTGTCAAATTCTCATACTTTCTTTTTAATTCCAAAGCAGTGTATTAAGTAGGCATGGTTAATGCTCATCTAAGTAGGTTACTGTTAATGTGTTACAATGACTTTGTCCAGGGGAGGAGGTTCTGCACTGCTGGTTTTCCTGTGCAGTAGTTGAAATGCTCATGAAGCCCTTAGAGAGGGATATATCCTGATACTGTGAATTGCACAGCTCTAAAAATTCTGTAAGTTATTAACAGCAGGGGGATAAAATAGGTTTTACTTATAACTCCATGAAGCGTATTTAAGAATTGGTTGTTCACATTGGGAAGGGAAAAATAAGAATTAAATCTTAATACGTTCTTATACCAAAAAGTATTGCAAAAAAGACTAAGAATGCCGAATTTTCTCAATTTATTCATCAAAAGAGAAAAAGTGTGTTTTCATCTGTTAGGTTTTATATGATGGTTATTTGTATTGCACGTGTTTGATTAGTTTTACTATTTCCTGGTTATCTAATAATTTGAACTACCAAGCCACTCCTCTTCTGAAGTACTGCAGCTTAACTTTTATTCATCAGAGTTGTACCTTAATGCAGTGATCTTGCTAATAGTTCTGCTTTGCTCTTGAATTATTCAGACATGCAGACTTAGTTGTTAAGTTTTACTTCTCAGTTTAGCATTTTTATTTTATCTTATGTATGCTTATGTATCTTTAAGTACATTAGGGCAAAATCTCCTCTGCTACAAAACTGATGCCTGATTCTGCATCCCTGGCTTTGTGAATTTGTAACTTCTTGCCATAACCAGCAGTAAGAATAATGCTTTGAATTTAGTGAAGCTACTTCTGTGTGTGTGGAAAACGTGTTCAGTCTGAGTAAACAGAAGTGAGCATCATGAAATAACTTTTTACTAATCCTATTTCTGTTCGTTCAGTGTGGTTTGGTTTGGTTTGCTTTTAATATTATGCAGTCTCTTTTCTTTTTGCTTGCTCTGCTAATGACTTCCCTGTCCTCTCCCGTCAACCTGTCCTGCTTCCTTCTTCCGTCTGTGGCTTTGGTGTACATGAACTGTGAATACAGACGAAGGCCACTAAGCTATAGAACTTCATTCAGTGAAAAGCTCTTCCAGAGGACAAGGGCGGCAGGACGTGCATCAAGGTATAAAGTGTTTGCAGAGCTTCAGGTTGCCACAGTTAAAGTGGCCACAAAAGGAAGGGTTTTGGCCATTTCTTGAACAAAACCAGAATAAAGGGGTTGGCTAAGTTAGCCTGAGGTATTTTGCTATCAAAAATAGATGGCAATGCATTTATTGCTCTTTGAGCTGAAATACTATTTAAGGAAAATATTTAATTAGGCAGCTCTCCAAAGAACATTTAAGTGAGTCCAAACCTAGAAGCGAAATTTCCTGTACCTTTGGCATGCTTCCTCTTCAGTTTTTTGGTTTTTTAACATACAGTACCTCGAGTCTGGAACCTCAGGCAAAAGTGTTTGGGGTTATTTATTCATTAATCATTATTTTGATGGAACAGATTTTGGTTTAGCAGTGCAGATATACTTTGATCACAGTTCTGCGCATGAAGTCAGTGTCAGCGTGTAATATTACCTCCAAGAATTCAGAATTATTCATTCTAGTTTCTGTTCAACATGCCCCTGCCTTGAAAACGTTTAACTGTAAGTGGCACTGAGTGGTTTTGTTGTCTTTTAACACTTTAAACACCTATAATAATAACTCATAATCATCTTCCTGTGTGTTCTTCAGTTGTTCTGGATCTATATGTGAGTTTAGGCTTTTTTCACTGTTTACCATTTAGAAACGTGGAATTTCCATTGGTTCATTTCTGTATTAGACTTCACTTGGTTCTTAGCATGTGTTTCTCCATTTTCCACCTCCTTTTTCCCTGCATTTCCTTTGCACTTGCAGTGTTTCTTACTCTGCTACCTTCTTACCTGCTCCCGTTGACTGACTTCTTGTGTTCAATCTGTGTATGGTTTCTTGTCTGCTTTAGGTTAATGATCTTCTGTCATCTGACTATGGTGAACAGTGGGGCCTTTTGTGTTGAGGGCAGCATAACTTTATACAGGTGTGAGACCACCTCAAATAGTATGTAGTTAGAGAGGAAAATAAGCGGAGACTTCACTTTGGTTTGAATTAGCAAGTTTTACTTAAACTTCAGAACTTGAAATATTTCAAGAATTGGAAGCAATGTTGTTTATTTCAATGGAAGCAGGATTGGGCTGGGGTTTCATGTGGACACACAGTCTGATGTTATGGAAAATACCTCCTTTATGTTCAAAACTATTTTTTCACAGGAAATGTTATGCAGTGAAAGTAAATGTTTTTTTCTTAGAATACATGTAAATTACAAAGCTTGGATAAATGTCTCTCTCTTTTTCTTTCCAGGCTTCTAAATCATTCAGTTTCAGTAAGCACAAGGAACAGGCCAAAGCAGCCAGTGGAATCTGAAAAATGGTACTGATACACTTAAATGTATCACAGCTTTTGGGAGTTGATTAGTTTTTGTGTTTACTCTGTGTCGCTGCTGCCATCTTCTGTCGTAGCTCAAGATGAAGTAGAAGCTGCACAAATAATCTGGTTTGGAGCTTCTTGCTTCCAGATTAGAAAAACTAATAATAAAATCCTGTTCTTTGGAGGCTTTAGGAGAGCTGATGTAATCCATAAACTAATTATGGGTCTGACTGTGGCAGTGATTCAGATGACTAAAACATCCGTGAATGAATCTTTAGACATGCAGTTCCAGTCCAGAAGGTCATAGCTCCCCTACAGGGAGCTGTGCAGGTGGGTTAGATCCTGTGTCACACAAAGTGACACTGTAGCTGTGCTCAGGCATCTGCGTTCTCCTCCCTGGCAGTCATTTTGTGCTCTGAAGAGCTGTTGGAAAAGTTGCTGGGAGTTCAAAGCCTTCGCTGCCTGTGGAGGATGTGTCAGTGAGGAATCCATACTCTGCAGGAGATGTGCTTCTGTGCTCTTTCTTTGAACTAATAAAGCAGCACCACCACAAAGCAGCCACAAACAGAAATACCCAGGGCCTTGTCTTTAGGAACTTGGGAATTCACCTCTTCCCGTTCCTGACTACATGGGTGAGAGAACCTAGCAAGTTTTCAGCCCTCCCTCCCTTAAGGAATCCTAGATGAGTTCTTTTAGCAGTTTGGTCTAGAAATAATCTATTCTATTTTCTAAGCTGAAGAGGGAGCGTTTACTGGCAGCCTCCTGTGAGAGCTCCATTTGCACACTGGCTTTTGTGATTTTTGCCAGCCCCCCAGTCTTCTAAAATAGATACCTGCAGCAGAATCTCTCCTCTGCTTGTGTCCAGACCCATGTCTGGCTGTGAATCTTGGAGGCAAAAGCCATAATGTTGCTAGAGAGCACTGCAGGTGGTCACAGCTCTCTACAGTACAGGCTCGCATGAGGAAAGCTTTTACTGGAACAGAAGAGGACACAGTGCAGATAGTTCAGTGTGATACATCCTGTTTGGGTTGTCATCTCTCATCTGTGTCTGTGGTTTTAGAGAGCCCACTGCATACATGGCTGGTGGTTAGATGAACCATGCTGCAACTATTATTCCTTTGCATGTAGAACTTGGCAGTCCTTGGCTCCTTAACATACAGCTGCTGTTCTTCGGGATGCTGTCACCTATTGTAATGTACAGCTGTGTCAGGCCTTCATGTTACAGGGTAATCCAGGAAAGGTTAAATTTACCTTTCCCTGTTTTGTTAATGAAACAGAACCAGTTCTGAGGCTTAAAAATGAAACAAAAAGACCCACCCCCAAGCATCTCCCCATCCCCTTAATTCTGAGGGGCGCACACAGCATATGGTGTTCCAGGCTATTTGTTGGTGTATTGTAATGATATATAGGAACCCAAATCACACACTGCATGATGAACATGCAAAGAGAGTAGAAAGACTGTCCTGTCTGTAAAGAATTTACACTTGCAGAATATGTCATAGTTAATAGATGTATGTGTGCTTAATTACTTCCTGCAGCAGTTCCTGCAGTTCTCAACTGCATTGCTTATCAAGCTGTTGGATATGATTCAATTTTCCTTGTGCCCAACAGCTTTAAAAAGTAGCGTTACTGGTTTGAGGCAAACAAAGAAAAAGGAAGGGAAAGGCATCCAGAGCAGCAGAAGCTAAGTGGCTGGGTGCTTCAGGATTTATTCTGATTGCTCATGGTGTTATGTCCTTCCATTCAATCCCCAGCTGTTAGCCACCTCATACTGCACAGCTTCCAAGGCAGCAGTCAGAATGTGAATGAAATGGTGCTGGAAAGGGGGTAGAAGTGAATTCCATAGGCAAATTCAGGAAGAAAAATTTAAGTGACAGTAAATCTAGACATTTTTATTTCCCCAGGAACTCCTCATCATGGAATGGTTAAGGGCTCTCATGCAGTTCATGTTCCAGCTTCACTGTCCCATCTTAAAACGTTTTTCTTTTTCCTATTAGTATAAGCTTCTACTTTACTCTATAGAGCTGACAGTGAAAGGAAGGAGGTGAGTCTCCCAAAAGTTTAATAATAGATCTCTTGTCAGCTGGGGTCACAATGTTTCCTTGGTTGCTTTGAGAAGCAAAGCAATGAAGATATATCAGTAATCTCTAAAGATCAACATGCTGAAGCGAAAGCTTTGTCTGACTCAAGAACTGTAGCATGGAGGTTCTATTGTCAGCATGTGGTAAGGGAGAGTGAAATAGGATTTGAGATTTTAGTCAAATGGTCCTATATTTTAGCCACATTGTGACATCCTTTATACAGGTAGCCAAAAACCACTGTAGTGCTGCAGAGAAGCTGCTTTTTAAGTGCTCATTTTTGTGATATTTTAAAATAACTTGGTTTTAAAATAGACAAGGAGTAACTTTCATAATGCCTCATCTTCATTTTTAGTGTCTCAACAGATGAAGTGAATTCCCCAGTGTCCCCGTACAGCTGGCAGGTAAATACTCAAATGTAAATGTGATGGTGTTGTATTTGAATGATTGTTGTTGTTGCTTTTTGGTTTTGTATTTCTGGCAGAAAATGTTTATACAGTCATATGGTTGCTTACACTCAGAGTTACTGTGTGTATGGAATTGCGGTGGAAAATAGAAAACCTTAGAAGAACCTTATGCTTGAAGATAATTTGGCTTGTATTTAACAGAGGCCTTTTGTTTAAGGACATAGAGTACTGCTTTTTAATCTATCAAGTATTTACAATTACTTTAAAAGCCTGATACTCTCATAGGAAGAAATAGTTGGAAATGAAGCTTTAGCCTAATGAAATGGTCCCTTCAGATTGCCTGCTTTCAGTTCTCATAAAATAGACATATTCATACATATTCATTGTTAGAAGACTAAATCTGCTTCCCTGTCTCTTCAGAACACATTGCATAATACAGTACTTTGAAAGAGAGACTTCTTTTACAGCTAGTTGATGTGTATGATCTTTTAGATGAGAACAGCAGAGAGATACTTAAATTGTTGTGTTGTAGTTATATAGTACGTGACAATTGATGTTAACATCCACGAGGAATAGTTACCTTTTACTTAAAAATATTTGGGAATTTATAGCCCCTGGAAAACCAGAAGGATTCAGTGGATGAGCAGCACTGGCCAGAAACCCAGCCAGTGATCTGGCAGAATGAAGAGAGAAGGAGAAGTAAACAAATCAGGAAGGAGTATTTCAAGGTAATGGGGGGGAGTGTGGGTGGGGGCACTTTATTTTTAATGAGTAGAACCTATCTCATTAAGGAAAGGTAAGAAAACCTCAAATTCTCTATGTAACCTGTATCTTTTTATTTGGCTCTTTGGAGTTAATATCTGTTCTGTATTTAAGGTAATGCGAGAGTGCAGGAAAACCTTAGTGCTTTAAATAAATGAAAGCAATTTACAGCTGTGTTCTGGTAAAGACAGAAACAAATCTTCAGTCATTACTCCTTCCCCATTCAATTGGAGGGATTTTATGCCTTTTTTTATCACAGCACAAAGGAAATAGATTTTGTGCAGCGTGGTTCTGAGAATGGTTTGTGCCTTTGGGTTCTCAGTGCATTAGATTGCATTTTAGAGAGGAAGTTCTCTCTGTGCTACTTCGCTGCTGTAGTGTGTTCCACTGGTCACCAGAGGTCAGTGCCTGCTGGTGGTAAAACACATTGGAATTTAACAGCACATTCAGATAAAATCTGGTTTGGGGCATGGTAGAGAAATAGGAGAATTATCAGCAGTAGGAAGTTGAGTTAAAATTAAACTTGTCACTTAAGAAATTACTTTCTTGGATCTTTGCCATCAAACATCTTTATGAAATGCTAGGGACCTTGAAAGGAATTAAGTTCCGGGTAGAACAGAGCATGCCATATAGCTCAGAGATAGTCTTGTCATTACAGAAGCTATTTATCTTCTTCCTGAGCAGTTTATGGACTCTTGTCCTCTTTCCAGGGGTTTGGTGGTTTGGGGCTTGTTTTTTCTTTATTTCTTTAATTAATTTTGCCTTTGATGGAAAAAGAGAAAAACTTCTAAGTGAAAGAGATTCCTGTCACCTCTGCTCTGGAGCCAGGCTGAGAGAGCTGGGCTGGGTCAGCCTGGACAAGAGAAGGCTTCTGAAGGGGAGACCTTAGAGCAGCTCCAGTGCCTAAAGGGACTGCAGGAAACCTGGAGAGGGGCTTCGGACAAGGGCCTGGAGGGACAGGCCAAGGGGAATGGCTTTAACCTGCCAGAGGGGAGATGGAGATGAGCTCTGAGGCAGAAGCTCTTCCCTGGGAGGGTGCTGAGGCACTGGCACAGGGTGCCCAGAGAAGCTGTGGCTGCCCCATCCCTGGCAGTGTTCAAGGCCAGGTTGGACACAGGGGCTTGGAGCAACCTGCTCTAGTGGAAGGTGTCCCTGCCCGTGGCAGGGGGTTGGGACTGGATGAGCTTTAAGGTCCCTTCCAACACAATATGTGTCATATCAAGAGTTCACATTATAAAAGTATTTAGTTTTAAAATGCTTTTATCTTACCAACATAAGATCTCGCCTGCCCTAGGAACTAGATGTTCTTGTTCTGTTTTGTTTCTTTTTAGCTCCTTTGATTCTGTAACATGTTTTTTTTTCTCAGCAGCTTCACCAGTAATAAGTCACATCTGAGTGCTGTCAGGTCATTTAGTTCAAATGAAAACCATACTTCCATTTTTAAAGTACTAATTATGTGTGTTTTGCAGTATAAGTCTTCCAGAAAGAGTTCAAGTGGAAATGAAAATGATGAGGTGAGAAACAGTAACTGTGTAAAACATTTAAGAAAATGCTTTATTATATTTGTCTTTTTTGAACACTTACGAGTCAGAACAGGAGAGCGTTGGCTGGGGTTCGTGCCAACAAACTGCATTCCAGAGCCAGAGCAGTAAAAAGTAACTGTACTCCCTCCTTCATTTAAAAAAGCTCATCAAGAAAAGTAGGACATTTACTTGCTTTGGTGATAGGGAAGTTAATTCACCTGTCAGGCAGAGCTGATGTGAAGGTAATGCTCGACACAAGCAGTGAACAGTATTTCCTTAACTTGCATGTTCTTAAACTCAGTTGCTGCCAGTTTGTTGCATAGTTGACAAATGTTGCATGTCTCATGTATTGTGTATTTCATAATTTCATGTTTCTTGTGAAATCATAATCTTCATTTTTATAATCTCATCTCTTTGATTTCTTTTTAGCAAGACAGTGATAATACTAATGTGTCCCCACAGTCTCCTGTGTCGTCTGAGGTACAAGTTTGTGGTTCTGTTTTTCATTCAACAGCCATTTCTTTGTGTGCATTACTTGTCACCACACAGATGTAAAGCTTTTTCCATTGAAAGTGCAATTAGAAACATTTCATCACTGTAAAAAAAATCAAAAATAGAAACTGGAGACAGACAGTACACCTTGGTTTATCTTTGCAACTATCTGGTCTCTCCTAGATTGCTTCTTTTTGACCAGTGTGGGGAAAGGTCCATTGTTTAGTCTTCATTATCTTTCCTAATGAAAACAGCTAATAAAGCAAAAATCAAACTTGCACACTGTGCAGGTGTCCTGTGCACTAGCCATCCAGAGGATTTAAAGTGAAACTTGTGGGTTAGTAGTTTATATATCACAACCCAAAAGTACTGACTCTTTGGGAGTTTCTTCTTTGATGATTCTGGCTGTTGCCTTTGTGGTGCAGTCTTGCAACCTCATGCCCTGGTTGCTTCCCATTTGAAGGGATGTCCATGGGGCTGCACCACACTGCTGAGCTCTGACAGAGCACACCAAAGATTGCTCATGTTTCCCCCTTATGTCAATAAGGAATCTGAGGGAGCAGAATGAGAACATCTCCCAGATACAGTGAAATGAGTGGAAACAATGAGATCTCTTGTACCTTCCAAATCACTGAGTACATATCTTGTTTTAGATGGTGAAATGAGAAAAACTTGATCTTCATAATTGAAAGCAAACATTTCCTAAGAAATATTTTGATACTTGTTGGGAGGATGCTTGCATTTGCTTTCAGCTGGCTTAGAACACCGTTCACAGAATGGTTTGCAGTAGTTTGAAATGGGTTAGAGTAGATTTTAGTTAATCTGGTGCTGCTTTTCTTCCTCACTAAGGTAACTTTATCTCCATACAATGAGCTTACTTTCATTCTTCTTTTATACTGTCCCCTTCAAAAGAGGGCATTACACTTAAGCAGAAGGACATTTTTCTTATGCAAGGATAATTTAAACACTATCTTGATGGAACAAAAGTGAGTTATTTTAATGAATGGAAGAAAACTGACTTTATCTCTTTTAACAGGATTATGAAAGGACAGATAGTAACACTCACGGTCCATTTGGTCTCAAACCAAGGTCAGGTAAGCTGAGTTCTCTACCATAGTGTGATAGAAACAGTTGTTCATTTGCTGGGCTGACACAGACGGTAAGGATGGAGGATGTGGGTGTGGGAATGACTAAGAAGATGCCCCAGTGCAGCAATCCATTCCGTGTACTCATCACAAGTGTGGTGCTGACAAGGACAGAGAGGCAGCTGCTCTCGAGCACGCTGACTTGTGCATATTTAGTCACTGCAAAGAACAGGGCAACAGCTCCTTCTTGAGACCTGTTGGCTGAGGCAGGAGGGTTTCAAGAGAAGTAGATTTTTGTCTGTCCTATGAAAGGGTGCTTTGAGCAGAGCTTTACCAGGAGTTTCATGGCTTAGTGCTTTGTTGCACCCTGACTCTTCCAAGACTGTGACGTGCCCTCCTAAGAGAGCTGTATTGTCTAAAGCAGACCTTCAGTCCTCTGAAGTCTAGGTAGCTACAGTATGTTGCTTTCAGTTACCATATTCTTTTGTTTGCAAGTGTCTGTGTGACTATTGGAAGAGCCCTGTGCAATCCTTTTTCCAGTTAATATCACTCTGCCCTGCTTCTAAGGGAACAGTCTTCATGCAAATTCGTTAAGAAAGAATTATCTCAACTCCTCAGTTTAATTTCATTCAATGAAATGATCTCCTTACTAGGAGCCTGTGAGCCCTCAACAGCAGAGTGTGCCTGGCTGAGGTGATGTAAAGGGTTTCTTCAGGGCCCTTAAGTCCCTTGAGCTTTGTAAGCAGTTGTGTGAAACTTCTGTGCCAGAGGTAGTCAGGGTGGTTGCATGTGCCAGGACACGCCTGGCTGGGATCATCTAGAGGCTTTTAAGTCACCTGTATCCTTGGCTGCAGGAAGATGCAGGTTTGCTAGGAGGAAGCAGGCTTGTTAGGACTTCCCAGATTACCCATCTTCTCTCCATGTGGTATTGGCTTCCTAGGACCCCTGCCAGCTCACAGTTTGGTTCTTAGTTACAAGGCAAAATCTTTGTGGTTTTGGATGCTTCCGTTGATGCTGTCAGTAACACACCTTTGTATTTTTCCATATACAGCCTACACACTCTCAAAAAGTATACATTCAGAGCAGTGGTTTCAAGAGCACCTATAAACTTTTTCTTGCTTTTGACTGTTAGATAATTTTTTTTATGCTAAAATCCAAACTATTAGAAACCATATAGAAGGTTCTAGAGGTGTAAGTATTAGTTTATATTTTTTTCTCAAAGCTATGTGGTACAGTGCTGAAGGACACTGTGGTGCTGCTACAGAAGAGGGTTTATTTGGTCTATAAAATAAGAGGTTTGTCATTTGAAGGCTTTCTGCCCATGAAGAATGTGAAGGGAATGTAATTATTTAACACACCTCCTTTCTAAAGAACTCTGAACTTCTGGATGAGACACTTCATACTTTCAGATAAATTCTTTAGGAAGCAGTCACTGTATCTCTGTGTATGCACACCTAACGTATGTGTGTATATAAATATATATGTATATTTTAAATCTCTCAATGTAAGTTGTATTAGGGAACTCTGTCCCTTTTTTTTTAAGTCATTACATGTTTTAAATCTGAATTCTGAAAACTAACTTCACTCATGCTCAACAGCTTTCAGTCGTGCATCACGCCAGGACTATGGAGCTGTGGATCCTGGATTTACAATGAGGAGGAAAATGGAGCATTTAAGGGAAGAAAGGGAACAAATAAGACAGCTTCGCAATGTAAGTACCATTTTGTACAGTATGGGTGCAGTGCATTTAATTTAAGCCTTTATAGCCACTACTTAAACCTTTGTTATACATAACAAAGGCCTGCAAATCATTACAGTTGTACAAGGGCATCTCTGTAGTGATACTTCTTCTTAAAAAAATTTCATGTAACAGGCTACACTGGCACTGGTTTTGATTCAACTAAAACACCAACCAGTATCTAAATATGTTTTAGCAGAAAAATGAAGGGGAATGAAAATCCTTAATTTTTAGGTTTCTGAGGCTTGAGATTTTCCTAGGCAGAGAGACAAGTCTGCTTGTGTTTGCTGCTCTGTGATCTGAGATTTGAAGAAAGATAGTCACAGTCTTTTGACTTAGCAAAATGCTTTTTGATTGTAGAAAGTTGCTGCAAGTTATACAATACTGAATAGGATGTAAATTTCAGACTTCCAGTAAGTTGTTTTCTGTCCATTTCTCAAGATATGGAACAGTTACAGTTAACTATAAATCATATAAGCTCTGCTTTCCAGGACAGGAGGAATTTGGGGTGTGACTTCTCTGAAGGCTGTTTCTGTCATGTCTGGTTCACTTCCTGAGCAGTGAAGGCTTATTCCTGGGGTGGGAAAAATCAGTCCCCACTTCTGTGGTTTGCAACACAAATGTGGGTGCTTCTTGGCCACCTTTTTCTCAGCTGTTTTACCGCCACCTGCACAAGTGAAATAGCCATACCCAAAGTGGTTGTGTTCCTGTATTTTATTCTTTTTCTCCTTCTAGTAAAGTTGTGCATGATTTCACCCTGTAAACTCTGCACGCTACCAGTCAGTGAGCTATTCAGCCCAACATTTCTGTCCTTAAATTCTGTGCTTTCCTATTCTGAGTAGTGAGTTCATGGAATGGCTTCAAGAGCTGTGTGTCATGGTAGTTGTTGGCTCGATGTCTTTCTCAATGTGGCTTTGTCATTTAAAAAAACCAACGAACTAAGGCAAACAAAGGGAACATAAGGCTTATGCTAAAGAGAAGAGGATATTTGTACAAAGTATGAGTTGGCTCCCTGTACTTCACTTTAGTATTAAAATGTCACTTTGAAACTGAATACTTTAAAATTAAAAATTAGTTCATGTTGAAAGTAACTTATTTCTGGACTTTTTAACAGAATCTTGAATCCAGGTTAAAAGTAATCTTGCCAGATGATATCGGAGCAGCATTGATGGATGGAGTAGTTCTTTGCCATTTAGCCAACCACATAAGGCCACGTTCTGTTGCCAGCATCCACGTACCATCGCCAGCAGTGGTAAGTGGTTTGTCTCACTTCTGTTGCATCTTAGCTGAAAACAAGCTTTTGAAGTTCAATACTTAAGCATCATGAATCATGTTGACCATGTGAACTGGCTACTTTCCTCACTTCAGTTTTTCTGCAGGAAGCACTAAACAGTGCTCAGAAGCTTTCTTTAAGAGCTCATTTCACATACTGAGTCTTCACAGAAGTTGTATTTTAGCAGCTGTAACTGTGTTTGCATCAGAAATGACTGTGTGATGACCTTCCATCCTGTCTTTACAGCCTAAACTCAGTATGGCAAAGTGCCGAAGAAATGTTGAGAACTTTCTTGATGCTTGTAAAAAGCTGGGCGTATCACAGGTATACTGATTGCTTTATTGACTTGTTAATAGCCACAAATATGTCAGCAAATACTGAAGTTGGAGGGGTTTGGATGGCTTAATTCAGTTAGCAGGAGTGACTATAAAACGGACCAGAACTTGAAGATATGAAAAGAAGTCCCATTTCTAGCCTATGGAATGAACTTGAGGAAGATACTTGATGGGTTTCTAGTCTATTCCTTATACTAAAAATAATACTGACCTCCTTGACCTCCTATCTGAACAGAGAGACTGATGAGAGAGGGTAATGTTGTAATATTTGAAAGCCTAGAGTTTAGCAACTCGCTTTGTGAATTTCAGTGTCTGTCTACAAGAATCCTGCAATGACAGAACTGCTTAGATGTCATCCTCAGCAGAGCTGTAGTTGCGGCCCATTATTCATGCTTCTGTTGCCCAAGTTTATCCTTTTACTTCCCTGTATGAGGGGGGGAAACCCTCAAGTTCAAACCATTTCCTGCATATTGGGAGAGACAAAGAAAACTCCCTTGACCTGTTTTAGTGAAACAGGAAAATTTGGTGATGGATTGAGAAGCCTGGGATACTGCTCTGCCACAGCTTCTGTCTAGCATGGAGCCACGGGCAGTTCAGAAGATAGAGATGCTAAGATTCACTTCCTGAATCACAGTAACAGCAGCTAGCACTTGGAAAAGTTGCCCAGCTTGTGCTGGAATTTCAAACTGAAACATGACTTGCTTGAGGAATGGCTCATTACCCAGGCTGTCAGCACTTCCAAGCTTTCCCAAGGGAAAAATTGGTAAAAGCCTATAAAACAAGGTGAGGGGGAAGTAGGGCACTGAGCCAGCAGTGCCTATCAGCTGTTGTTCTGGCTTTGCTTATGAAACCAAACAGTCTTTGGCTTTATGAAAGTAGCAGTCTTGTATCTCTTCTGATGTTGCACAGTTTAACGCTTTAAACAGATCCTGGATAGAATTAGTAAGTTTGTAGCCATTCTGTTACTTGTAAAGAACCGCATGTGAAATTTAAGGCCAAAACCATTTTCTGTGTGTCTCAGTGATGTATGTGTGACTTTAGAGAACCTGCCTTGGAGAAAAAAAGGATGAAGCTTGGTACGTGTACTGCTTTGTTTTACAGGAGAGACTTTGCTTGCCTCATCACATCCTGGAGGAAAGGGGGCTGGTGAAGGTTGGCCTCACAGTTCAAGCTCTGCTTGAATTGCCTACACTGAAAGTACCTCAGCTTTCCTCCATGTGACACAACTCCTTGGGAGCCGGACAGCGTTCCATCCCATCTGCCTGTTTGGATCCCTCTGAGGCAGTTCAGCTTCCGACATGGGAACACCCAAGCCATCAAAAACTACTATCTGTCCAGATGCTGTAGAGAGCCTTACTTTGGAGTTGTAGGTGACAACCTTGGAGTTAGCTGGCAGTTAAAAGACCATAGTTATTCTTCTTTACTTTTGTAATTGGATGCACAAAGAGATGTGATAGCATCAGGTTCTCTTCCCGGTTGATTTCAGTTAAAAGCTGCCATTTAACACCTCACAGTGTTACAGTTAAATGCTGGATTTCTTTTTCTCTCATTGAAAACGTTGTTTGAATTCTTTTACAAGTACAAAGCACACTCCCTTCACTTTAATCTTGCGAGTCAATCATTTGATTTCAAGGTAAGACTAAAATGTAGCGCTGGTGTGACGGCAGAAATGCGAGCGGCTGATCACTTGTAACCCACTTCACTCCCTCCGAAAGCTTCATCTTCATGTTCTTTATTTTTTGCACTCCTCATTGTAACTTAGACACTTCTAACATTGCCAGTATTTAGTCTGAGTGTCTGGTGATTACACAAAGCAGTATCCAATGGGAAAAGGACACATTTTATTGAGTTTTTTCCAGTCTTCTAGGTTGGTGCCAAATACTTTTTTTCAGTTGTACTGTAGATTGTTTACATGTGAAGTGCCTGTGTAATTGAGAACTCTGAATAGTCTGAAACATTTTTGCAATTTCTTTGTTTAAAATAGATGAAATGGAAATTTTTAAATATTTTAATAGTTTTTTGTAAAATCAGTACGTGAAGATTTAAGTAACGCTTCACACTTTTGATGTTGGGTGTCTTTAAGTTTGTTGCACAATTGAATTGGTTATTTTGTTGTCTAATAATTAGAAAATACTGTAAATACTTTTTATTTATGATATTTAATTTGATAATACCTGATTACTTTTGGGTTAATGTATTGTTGGACAAAAAAGTTGTCTACTTTTCTTTAGGACACACAGATACACACGGTGAGTAAGAGGTGAGGACTAGTGATGCACACCGAGTAATTTAGGACATTTTGATAAAACTGCCAAAATCTCAGGTTTCTGCTGTGACTTTCAGGATTTTGTGTAATGTTGCTCCTGAGCTCGTGTTACATTTTTACAACAGACTTATCCATAGTTTAGTTGGGAAATATCAGTGTTTCTCTTTTTAGTGTTTACAGGATTTATTGTGTAACTTACACAAGTGTGGCCTAGCACACAGATCAGTTGGTACAAATGTCACCGTGCTGAGACATTAGACCATTAGACTTTTCTGGATAAATGGGAAATAGAACCAATTCTGCTGTGGTGGTTTTTTTGAGGCTTCTCTAAGTTTATCTATTTGTTTGCTTCTGCACCAGTTCTTGGTGTTTTGAGCACATTCTGAAACCATACACAGTTGAGTTGTTCTCCAAAAGAGTTGCTAATAATTTATTACTAAATCTGTTTGCATTAGGCTGTTCATGAATAGGTAGCTCCACTGAAAACTGCCACAGAGTTTCTGTTTCCGGCTAAGTTAATTTTGACTGAGGGATACATTTGCCAAGCAGGTAACAAGATTTGATTCTGTTCTTGCTAATTAATCAAGGTCCATTGTAATACAATTCATGAAGGAATGAGGGAGGGGGTATTGTTTACTCCTTACTTACTTAACTACAGTCCTTAAAATCAATAATTGAGAGGAAAAATAACCTCCTGATGACCAGATTTTGTTTAAAACATAGATTCTTTTTAAATCCCTTGAAACAAACTGATCAATGTGTAATAGTTTAAACCCACTGTTATTTAGATGGTGGTTTCTTACAGCGCAGCTCCTGGAGAGGCTGGTGTAAAACAGCAAACTCCTCAAAAGAAATCTTAGGTTACATGAATACTTGTTTAAGGAAACTGGATTGCTTTGAGCTTTGAAATGTGGGATTTCAAACCTCTCTATTTGGTTTGTAAATCATCCACATAAGCCTCATTTTAACAACTTTGGTCTCCATTCCTTGTTAAAGGCATTCAGCTGCAAAGTCACACTAACACTCAAATGAATAAGTAATATAATTCATTAAGCAAAATGCTTGTCTGCTGCATTTGAAGAACACAACCAGTCAAAAGAATAAGTCATTGTCTTTCAGTTCCTGGCTGTGGTATTGATGACACCCACCACGTTCTCTTTCAGTACATTAGCCATAGAATTGCTGACTATAAATGGTCGCTTTCAGTTACCTGCCTTAAACTGACCTATTTCCTTGTCATATTTAAATGTTTGATCTTAAAGTAACTTTTTCTACTCAAACTAAATAGATACAGTTCCATCTCAGTGTAAACATGAAGAATCCCCTTGACGTTGTGTGCCACATGCTGACCAGTTTGGTCTTGGGTTGTGGGGTTTTTTAAGCTTAGCTAATTTCCTAAGTAACTTGGAAACTGGATATGAAATTAATTGTACCTCTGAAGCTGAAAACTACTAAAATAACTTTAGTACTCTGGAGTTCTTCCCACAAACTAGGAACAGTCTTGCTTTGCCATTCCTTGGAAATAATTATGGCCTTCGTCATGCTTACAGGGAAGGATAATCATGATTCTTCCAGGGCTTCCTTTTTAGCATGACAAAGATGAAGGCCTTCAAGTATCCTTCAGAGCAATCTTGAGAAAAGGTCCACTGTGCCTGGACAAATCTTTTCTCAGCTTCCTTTGGCTGCTGTTAATAATCTGAAGCCTTGCAAAAATTGGCTGTTCCTGTTCTGATTTTTTTAGGAGCAACTGTGAAAAAAAGATGCTCATGTTCTGTAATACAAGTTTTCATTTTTAAAGCAGGTTGTGGAGATTGTTGCCGTCTTTCCTGTACAAGAATTTGCCCCTTTCTCCCTTTCCATTTGATTCCCAGCATCATCTTAGTTAATTTTGTCTTCTCACAGATCTAGTGACTTCACATTGGTCATTAAAACATGTTCCTCTTTCCTTTTGACTTTAAGAAACTTCTCCAGTGTCACTGGTGAACTACTGTGATTCCAGAATCCCTGCTCCCAGCAGTTAGTATGTTTGAGATACCCTTTTCCTATTCTGTTTAGGATGCAGTGGCATTAATGAATACTTGCTACAGCTGATGGGATGGTTAAAACCAGAGGCCTGCCCCCGTTCCTGTTGTAGGTACTCAGTTTTTATTTCAGATGTAAGGAGAAGTCAAGACGAAAAACTTTAGGAAGCTGCATTAGGTTTTCCTAATAAACTTAAGAGTTCACTAGGGTGCTTTCTTATTGTGAATGCTATACAAAGTTACTGCAGTTGTGTGGTCTGTAAACTACAGAGTGAATTGACGTACTGACAGGGCCTCTGGCCTTGAGTATGTTTTCTGTTTCTCTGTGTCATTGGATGCAGTATGTCACACATGAAAGATCTTTCATTTAAGCAATAATGCCCCAGATAGTGTGAGGTCTTGAAGCAGTGATATCAAAATAACCATTGTAAAGTGTGATTGCCTCCCACACAGTATCTCAGAAGTGCTTCACATCTATAACACTGCTAATGCAGTGTGTGAGCTGGGGCACTGCTGGGGATGCAAAAGCCATCTACACTTGGAGGTCTTCCAAATAAAATGATCATAAAATATGGAGGAAACAGTTGAAACAATAAGTACATGAATTGTAAGAATGTCTGGGTAAAATCTGAGCTTCAGAGAAGCCAAGGCATTTCTGGTCTTGACTTCAGTCAAGAAGGAGGAGAGAAGAAGGGTCTCAGAGATGGCTTTTAATACAGAACTCCTTCAGTAAAGGAGTCCAGGGGAGGCCACGAGAATGCTCAGGAGCTGGAGCAGCTCCCATGTGAAGACAGGCTGAGAACATTGGGGCTGTTCAGCCTGGAGAAGAGAAGCTCCTGGAGACCTCAGAGCAGCTTCCAGTGTCTGAAGGGGGCTACAAGGATGCTGGAAAGGGACTCTTCATCAGAGACTGGAGTGATAGGACAAGGGGTGATGGGTCCAAACTGAAACAGAGAGATTTAGCTTAGATATAAGGAAGAAATTCTTTACTTCAACAGTCTGCCCCAGGAAGTTGTGAATGCTCCATCCCTGGCAGTGTTCAAGACCAGGTTGGACACGGGCTTGGAGCGACCTGCTCTAGTGGAAGGTGTCCCTGCCCAGGGCAGGGGTTGGAACTGGAGGAGCTTTAAGCTCTCTTCCAACATAAACCACTCCAAGATTCTATTATTGAAGTTTCCACCTTTTTGGCTTACAGATACCTGAGCTGCAGCCCATAGCAAACATGGCTCAAATTCATTTAACACTGGCAAAGCTTTAGTGTCAAGTTCTTGACAAAATAGTGATCTCTGGTAAGTCAAAGGAATCTGTAAAATACTACATAGATTCATTTATTTAATACAGATTTTCTGATGTGCCATATATGTATTGACAGTAGGAAAAATTCCTTTGAAGCACAGCTTTCATACTACAGGAAGGTGTCACCTCTGTCACACTGCAGGTGAGGATTGCCATCAGTCACGTACTGCACCACAAACTTGATTTCAGGTATCACTTGTGGCAGTCTTAGATTTGGATATAAATCTACCTGATTCAAACAAAAAATGAAAAGGCATCTGTTCACTAAAGCAAATGTCCATTTGTCTTCTCAGACTGAAGAGAAGGACAAAGGTCTGGCACTTGTCCTGCTGCTGCTTGCTGAATGCTTGTACAAGGGTAGCTGTTGTACCTAATCCAGCTGCAGTCTGCCTGTGTACCAAAGCTTGTTACTAATTCAAGTGATTCCAACTAAAAGCAACTTCTGGGAGTTTCTGGCACTTTCTGCAGACAGTGGAATTTGTATGGTTAAAGCACATTTTTTCCTCCTGAAATCAGGCTATTGTAGGTGTTTCTTTCAAGAGGTATGTCATTTAACAGTGACCTCTACTTGAAAACCAAAAGCAAACCCCCAAAACCTTCCAAAAACCAAAAGCCCAACAGCCACAGAACTGGAGTTAAAAGAAGACAGTAAGACTAGGAACAGGAAAGGCAAATTACAGTTCTCTAAGGACACGGTGCTCTGACCTGACTTCACACTGAATCACTTCACCCTGAAAAGCCTTTAGATTAAGTACAGAAAATAGATGTTTTGTAGCTACTTCATTCTGAGGGAGGCAGACCCTTAAGTACACCTTCCTGTAGAGGTTACAGAGCAGCTCTGCTCTGGAGCCAGGCTGAGAGAGCTGGGCTGGGGCAGCTGGAGAAGAGAAGGCTCCTCAAGGGGACACCTTAGAGCAGCTCCAGGGCCTAAAGGGGCTCCAGGAGACCTGGAGAGGGGCTTTGGACAAGGGCCTGTAGGGACAGGACAAGGGGAATGGCTTTAACCTGCCAGAGGGGAGACTGAGATGAGCTCTTGGGCAGAAGCTCTTCCCTGTGAGGGTGCTGAGGCGCTGGCACAGGGTGCCCAGAGAAGCTGTGGCTGCCCCATCCCTGGCAGTGGTCAAGGCCAGGTTGGACACAGGGGCTTGGAGCAACCTGCTCTAGTGGAAGGTGTCCCTGCTTGGGGCAGGGGTTGGAGCTGGAGGAGCTTTAAGGTCCCTTCCAACCCAAACCAGTTGGGGATTGTATGATTATAAAAATTACACAGCCAGTCATTTTTAGTTCAAATGTTCTATAGCCAGCTATGTTTTCAAAGAAGAATGTTTAATCTGCTTTTTCCATACACATTTTCAAACCCTAATCTTCAAATAACCAGAACCAAAAACTCTTTCCAAGACTACTTTAGTATCTTAGTCAATATGAAGGGAGAAGAATAGCTCAAACAACAGCAAATGGGTTTGTTTTGGGAAGCTTTCCATTTTGGCAGAGTTGGGTTTGCGGTTGGACTCGCTGATCTTAAAGGTCTTTTCCAACTGAACTGATTCTGTGACTTCAGTGAGACCAGAATTTCCATCTATAGTTCTGGAACTGAGCTACACCATGAAGTCAGTCATTGAAACTGAATTCTTGGCACTGAAGAGGATTTCCTCGCTTCATCCAAGTTTGTGTGAAATAAGGCAAACACAACATTTCTTTTCATGATAGTTTTATGAAGGCAGGTTGGGAAATAGAGAATACTCAGAAATAAGCACAAGGATACATCTTAGGTAGGAGTGAAGCAGTTCAGGCTTCCCAGGACTGCTCTATTTGTGTGGGATCTGGTCATGGCGTGGGAGCTCCCATTGTTCAGTGTGAACGTGCTTCCTGGAGCACGTGCTCTTCACGTGCAGATGTTCATCCAGCTGTTTCTGAAGCGATGCCTCTGGGTAAGCGCTGCTGCAATGGCGGGAATTCCCAGCCCTTGCACCGGCAGGTAATGGGAGCCTGTGATTGCCGGAGGGCTGTAGAAGAAGGGTGGTTTGTGGATCACATTGGGAGTAACATGAGTACTTCTTACTGTTGTGTAACTTCTAGAACAAGGAAATTGTGACTGTTGGTGTTCAGGTGTTTTGTAACTCGTGGTTATGAAACTCGGAAAATACACCATGAGCAGATGATGGGGGTGTAAATGTGTGCAGGGCAGGAGCAGTTCTGAGGCACTGGGGTGCTCATGGAGAAACAGATGTTGACGTTGTGTATATACTTGCAACCTCTTTGATAGCGCATTTTAATTCATTTTGCATCTCATGTTCTTGTAAAGTGCATCTTCCTCCCGCACTTCCAAGACTGTCAACTTGTACAATACTGTACGGAGCCCTTTTTTGGGATTTCCATCCTTGCTGGAGCTTCCAACATAGACATTTCTTTTGAAAACTGTTCCTACTGTTACTTTTTTGTAAATAGTTTTTTGTATTCAATTTGCATGGATAACCCCCATTTCCAAGCCAGTGTACATACGCTGTGTATAAAATACAGACTGTTTCATAACTTTCATGTAGTCAAGTTACTCAGTTTGATTTCACTTCAGGTTTTATATATTCGTAGTAAATAATGATGATTTGTTGTATGTTCTTCCAAGTGTCTCTGTTGCCATTTTGGTAGATGAGTGACCTGCATCAGGCTGGACGTGAGGAAGAAACTTTGTACAATGAGGGTGGTAAAATCCTGGCACAGGTTGCCCAGAGAGGTGGTGGCTGCCCCATCCCTGGAGCCATTCCAGGCCAGGCTGGATGTGGTTCTGAGCAACCTCGTCTAGTTGAAGATGTCCCTGCTCATTGCCGGGGGTTGGAACTGGATGAGCTTTGAAGGTCCCTTCAACCCAAACCAGGCTGGGATTCTGTATCTTTTATAGTGACAAACAGAAGGAACATTGACTCTTATTCCAGGATAATAGGACACTGACAGGTGAGGCAGGTTAGGACTTTGGTTGTGACCAAGAGGGACTACAAGGTGGGAGGATACGTCAAGATAGAAACACCTTCTCTTGTAGCGGGGTCTTTACACGTTTATACACTCTCTTATCATAGCATGATGTCTCGTAGTACATTTGGAACAACATCATTGTCTGACTCATGCTCACAATCAGCTTCATCCAGTGTGGAAGCTCCGGCTGGCAGAAGAGCTCCCAGGGTTGGATCTGGCCAGAGCACAGGTCACCTTCTGTGTGGTTCACAGTAACTGCTACATCTGACACGAGGTGAGGGAAAGGGCTGCTGGGTTCTGGAGCCGTGGTTGTAGGTCGGTTAAAACAGAACTCTGGACAAAAAGCCTGATTTTACCTTCATTTATTTCTGTTCATTTAAAGATCCAGACAGTTTTGTTGTTAGGCCTGACTGGTGACAGCCAATGCAGGGTGCCACAAACAAGTGTGTTCCTTGTATTTCGGTGATCAGCTGCAGATAACATGCCTCAGACGTGGGCCTTTTGCATTGAGCCTTGAGGTGTTGGGAGGTCTGTAAATGGTTGACACCTCCTGCCTTGGGAAAGGCTGCAGCAGGTCCGGTGGGATGTGAGAGCTCCCAGCACTGGATGTGTTGTAGGATCCTGTCTGCGGTGCTTCCTCCAGCCGGGACCCCTGGGAGCAGTTCTAGGTCTGTGTAGGTCTCGCTGACCGCAGCAACCTCCCCACACTGAGCTCACTCAGCTTCTATTTCCGAAATCAGAAGTGGGGTTTTTTCCATTCCAGCATGAAAGCTGCCTCTCCTCCGGGGTCCGTCAGGTCCCGCTGAGGCGTGTTCTCGTGCTGTGGCTCCTTTCCAGCCTCTCCCGTGTCCTGCCTGCAGGCCAGTCGTGCATCGTGTGCCTGCGGCTGCTGCTTTGCCTCAGTTAAGTCACTGCCATGGCTGTAGCCTTTTAACTTTCTGTTCGCAGTCCAGAGGTGGATGCAGCTACGGAGCCCTGGCTGAGCATCGCTGGTCCCATGCTCTTTGTTCTGGAAACTGAGGAGAGTCTAGAAAACTAAGTAACTCCAGCTCCTCCCTGGTTCCACAGGGCTCTGCGGTCCCTGGTTCTGTGTTCAAACACATTGATCAGCCACAACCATCATTCGAATGGCTGTTTGAACCCTCCCAAGAATGAAAGTTTGCCACTTAATGTTGCAACGACCTCGAAATGTCTGTGTCATTATTTGTGGGTTTAATTAGTTAGGCCTCATTAATAATGGAAATCTTATGCTAATAATACCCTGATTATAGAGCCAAAGAGTAGATTGTAACACACATACCTGGTTGTCACAGCCCTAACACTGCCTTAAGGACTGAATGATGCACAACTGAGCTTGTAGTGACCAGCAAGGGCAACCTTGGAAGAATCAGAACTTGGTGACTTCTCTGGGAGTCACGGTGCCAGTTAAAGGTCTGGCTTCATGTCATCTTGAGGTGGTTTTCATTGTAGTGGGGAAATAGAACGACCAGGCTCTGTGTGGAACTGCTGTAGGGTTTTTTAGCTAACATTGAAATGTGACCAACCTACCGGGATACTTGTATTTTTCAGCAATTCAATAAACATCTATCTTTGGAGTCTTATAATTGTGGCTTTAGTATAATAATTTCATTACCAGAATTCATACAACTTTTCAGATGTCCACACAGACAGATCCTGTGTGTGTGATCTTCTCTACAGCTGTTAGAGCTACATCACATTCCCTGCTCTTCAGCATTTCAGGCAGGTTTGTTGCTCTTTCTCCAAATGTATTTACAGGTATTTTTCTGCTCCAAGGTTAGTGTTGGGGTCATTTAATTCTTTTGCAGCTTGAGTGAGAAATGCTGATACCTCAAGTGTGAATACTGCTTTATGTTAATAAGAATATGACATTCCAGAGAGACAGACAGGAATTCATAAGCTCTTCATTTCAGCCCCTCGTTTTTGCTCCTCAGAATCTCCAGTTCTCCTGTAATCAGAAGGAAAGCAAAAGAAAAGGAAACCAACAGCAAATTGTGCTCCCTGGTGTCAGCTTCGAATGCACGAACAGTGAAAACTATTTGAGACACTTCTGCCAACAGTGAGAATTTTGTGATTTTTGGCTCGAGCAACATAAACTGTTATTTCCCAGGAATATCAGTTAAATGATGATTATGTTGTTTCTGGGGAAATGGCAGGGGAATGGTCAGTTTCCTTCTTCCTGTCTTTGCAAACTAACGGCTGCAGAAGAGGAGAGGGAGTAGAGAGAACTATCATTGTTGGACCACTGTGTCGAATCAAGCTTCGTTTGTTACTTGATGTCCTTCTCCTTCTGTGAGCAGGCTCCTGCCCGCTTCTTGATCTGTTCCTGCAGTATTCATAGAATCACAGAACTCCAGACTGGTTTGTGTTGGAAGGGACTTTAAACTTCCTCCTGCAGCCACAAGCAGGGACACCTTCCACTAAAGCAGGTTGCTCCAAGCCCCTGTGTCCAACCTGGCCTGGAATGTCTCCAGGGATGGGGCACCCACCACCTCTCTGCACAACCTGTGCCAGGATTTTACCACCCTCGTTGTACAAAGTTTCTTCCTCACGTCCAGCCTCAATCTCCCTCTTTTAGTTCGAACCCATCACCCCTCGTCCTGCCGCAACAGGTCCTGATGAAAAGTCTCTCCCCACCTTTCCCATAGGCCCCTTTTAAGCACTGAAAGGCCACAATAAGGTGGATTGGTCTGAAGCTGCACCGCTGTTGTTGGTTCCTTGTCAGGCGTGCTGTGTTCTGATGGACCGAAGGAACCCAAAGGGATTTTTGCCCTGCCCCACACCACGCTCTTTGGTTCAGCTCAGAGGTTGGAGTGGACAGTACATGTGCTGCATGGAAAGCACCCACCAAAAGTAGGCCAGAAATGTTCTAAACTGTGTAGGAGGCAAATCTCAACCGAAAGAAGACACTTGAAATGGGGCTGTCAGGAGTGGTTGAGGGTTGGAGCATATTTACTCACTTCCTACCACCACCAGTGGGAAGAAGGCAGTGGTTGACTTGTGTTGAGTCCTTCCCGGTGGGGAGGCATTTCTGACCTCAGATGAATGTTTTCTGTGCCAGACATTTACAGACAGACAATGTAAAAGTATGGGAAGATTGGTTTTATAGTGGATATTCCCAGGCAATAAAACAGGGAGCCGATGAGGGACAGATGCTGTGGGCTGCAAGATAAGCCAAGGCAGTTCCACTTGTGAGGTGCAGCTCATTTTCTTCCTCTGAGCAACCTCCCTGTTGGGCCCGGCAAACCCTTCTCTTCTCCCTCCAGCACACACAAACCATCCCAGTATCCCCAGTGTTCTCCCCTTTTCCATGTCTCTCCCGCCCAACCCAAGGCAGGGTGGGCACCTTGGCCAAGCAGAGAACATGGCAACCTCCACCCAGCCTGTGTGTCACCCCCCCACCCATGGGCAGTGCCTCCACTCAGCATTGCTGGGACAGGACACGGATCCTGCACGGTTTGGCCTCGGTGGATCTCCTTCTCCAGGTCCAGCACGGGCACTGCAGTAACAGCGGCAGGAGGACAAGCACAGCCCAGTCATCAGGTACCAGCACAACGGCACAAGGAAGGGAACAGAACAGCGGTGGTGGTTTGCAAAGGGCACTGGTTTGAGGAGGAGGCTGCTGGGAGGAGGCTGCACCGGTGGCACTTTGCAGCAGGAAGTACACTCTTTGCTTGCCCAGGTGCTCCTGTGGTGGAGCCTGGTTCCTGCAAACCCCAACTATGCTTTTTTCCAACCTAATTTTCTCAAGAACTGACCCAGTTCCAGCACTCAGGAACTGGCATTCACCCTACTGGGAAATGAGTCTCATTTATTTCAGATGACCTGTCTAATGTGACCTTTTCTGCTTAAGTAGCTTACACAATGAAAAGTACATGAATGTTAAATCTTAAGCTTGCATAACCCTGACAGCAGGGCCATACATTTACCAGCAGCAAAAGACTTGTTTTCCCCTGTCCTTTGCAGAAAGAAGGAAACAGCCAATTGCAGTGAAGGGAGAACTCGCCCATACCCCTCTCACAGCCGAAGTGCACAGGGTGCTCAAGGCAATGGGGTTTGTACTACCCATTTCTACTGCTTTTTACTTTTGAAAGATGCAAAGCAAGAGGCTACTCACCTGTTCAGTGGTCTCCAACCACAGGTAAAGCCCCCATGGTCTTCACAGAATCCTGAATCCCAGACTGCTTTGTGTTGGAAGGGAGCTTAAAGCTCATCCAGTTCCAACCCCCTGCCACAGGCAGGGACCCCTTCCACTAGAGCAGGTTCCTCCAAGCCTCATCCATTGGGAAGGGTTTCACACCTGGAAGGAGATGGTGCCTCCCTCAGGTCTGCAAAGCTGACGCAGCATTGGCAGCACACGTCTACCTGCATGCACACAGTCAAATGGGAACAATATAACTGGTAGGTGGAAAGGAGCCTGATCCTGCATTTGCTGTTCCAAAATATTCCCATTGACTCCATTAAGTTGGGCATCAGTTCAAACAGCAATACCTGAAGTCTTGTAGAGGTGCTGGGAGGGTGGGTTTCTTCCTAAGGAGACATGCTTTGTCAGTGCCTGATGCTGTTTCTCATGTTCTTACTATCTCTGGATGGTTTCTCAGTACACCCAAATGTGGGCATGGGCAGACCCAGCCCCAGCCCATTGCTTGTTGGGGCACGTGCATCATGGCCCTGCTCTTTCCAAAGCATCCTTTATCATCCCTCCTGGGGCAGAAT